CCAGCCTCTTGAGGCAAGACAGAAGAGCTGGCAAGGGTTAGTCAGTGGAAAATAACCAGTATCATGGAGGAGAAGAACACAGGAACCAGTGAGACGGCCGAGCGGGTGAGAGCATTTCCTGTACAAGCCTGATGACCTAAGTTCAGTCCACAGAACCCATGGTGGAAGGAGAGAACTGACTCCTAAAAGGTGTCCTCTGGTCTCCATCTGCATCAGCCCCCACCCCCACCACCCCAACAGTAGAATGCATGTCTGGAGAAGTTACAATTGGCATTCAAGCAATTTAAAAGAGCTTTGAGCAACTGGAAAACAAAACGAACAAAGCCACTTAGCCACAAAGAGATGAGTGCTAACCCCCAGACCTAAACACAACTGACGCCATATTAAAGACACCAGTCCTATCTTAAAACCCGGCACATAGGCCCCTGTGCCTGCCAACATGGAAACAAAGACCTAATCCATCAAAGAGCTAGTCCACAGCTCCAGAAAAGTCCCCAAATGTACTCAGCTTGGTTTCTGGCTTCTGTAGTTCTGCTTCTTGCTAACTGAAGTGTGACAACCAGGATGTGAGTTTTGTGCATAAATGACAAAGGGCTGTTAAAACTCAGGGCTGCATGGTTTGGGCAAGTTCTCTCCCTATGCAGTCACCAGCCAGCAACAATGGCTAGGCTACACCGGTGTCTGTGGTGGTCTCTGGTGGGCTTACCTCACAACAGTACCTTCTACACTAAACCACTTACCCATGTAGCTATCCCAGTGTTCCAGAAACTGCTGTTCTAGGATGCTTAAGTGAAACAGAAAATGGAAAAGCAGTGTTGGCTGCTATAGTTTGAGTATGAATTAGGCCCAGAGAGGCTCATGCATTGTAGGTGTGGTCCCCAGGTGGCAAATCCAGTCACTGGGAGGTGGCTGTATCATTAGGGTCTGACATCATTGGTCGGTTAGGATGTATACCGTAATGTGCTTTTAGGAGGTGTGGATTGGTTGGAGGGAGTAGGTCCCAGAGGTCATATTTGAAGGGTCTGTCTTGGCCTTAGTCCCTTCCTGTCTTACTCTCTGTCCTGTTTACTACAAGGGGAGCAGCGCTGATTTTACCCCATGCTATTCTGGGCCATGTTGTGCATAGGCCCAGAATCAATGCCGCCAAGTGGCCAGGGACTGAAACTCTGAAGTCAGCAACCAAAATAAGTCCTTCTTCTGCAAGCTGTTTATCATAGGTATGTTGCACAGTATTGAAAAGGGTAGCAAACACAGCCATCAATTGTGATGCCGGACAATTCTTATACACACACACACACACACACACACACACACACACACACACACACACACTGGTTTCGAACAATGGCCCAGAATGGTGGTACAGAATGAAGTGCTGTGTGTCCACATGATAGATAGGGACAAAACAATCTAGTAATACTCACTTCATTTGTACCACCTAGTGTGACACTGAAGCGTAGTTCCACAATGAGATCTTGTATCTTCCCCATAGGAAAGGTGTCCTCTTCCTGTGTGTCCTCATGGTCAGCCCCCAGCAGCCATGGGCAGATAGAGAAGCATGGTGGTCTGCAGCTGTGCCTGTCTCTCTTTTTCCCAGGAGACCCCTTGATCATGAAATAAGCCCGTTACACTCTGGGCCTATGTTTGGACGGGCCAGGCTGGGGTCTACCACTATTCCCTTCTGGAATATGAACCAGAATCGCCTGGACCAAGAATTACCAAGGTGAAGAAGGGCTTATGTATACCAGCACTGCTTGTTGTCTGTGGATGTCCTTCAGCTATTTAACCCTGTGTGTCCACCCATCCCCGGCTTACTACAGGGAAGAGCTGATTACTTCCTGCACGAATCTGAAGTTTCGGCAGGGCTCTGCGTGGAGAATTTGCCTCTGCTCCCATACGCAGCCCCTGGCCATCTCTACAGAGGAATGAAAGATCTGTTTCCAAGATAGCAGAGGGCCATCGCTGACAATTTGGTGTGGGTCCACTAGGGGCTCAGTATGGGATGAAGGCAGATCCATCGTTCCCTTCACAGAGTCTGGGGCTTTGAAGCACGGGGGTGAGCCAGGTGGGCCTGATTCACCTTCAAGGTTCCAGTCATAGTTTCACTTCTGTTTGCCAGACAGTTCCATTTATAAAAAAGGGAGCACAGACTCTGGAGACTTACAAAGCTCTGGAAGAACATACTGGTTTCTAGGACAGGCACAGACATCAAAATGTACCTTTGTAGACGTGTCTCATGTGCAGATAACCTGTTTTCACATAAAATATTTTAAATAGCCTCCCGTTTATTTCTGTTGATCCACCTGTATTTGAGATGATCTCATGTATCCCAGGCTGGCCTTGAACTTACTATGAATCTGAGGATGATCTTGAACTTCTGATCTTCCTATCGCCACCTCTTGATGCTGAAATTACTGGTGTGGTGAATGGTAGTTTATGAGACGCTGGGGATCAAACCCAGAACCCTGTGAATACTGGGTAAACACTCTACCAACTTGGTAATATCCCCAGCCCCTCCCATTTATTCATTATCTCTTTTGGTGCTGGGGATTGAACCCAAGATCTCATATACAAGCTGGTACCAGGGAGCTATGACCCCAGCCTTTCCCACACATTAAATCATTTCTAGATGACTCGGTAATTCATAACACAATGTGAGTAGTTGTGGTACTGTGTCCTTTGTACAGTGACTGAAAAGGACAGGACAGATACTCAATACACATACAGCAATGGCTCCATGGCACATGTATGTCAGTAATATTGTGATAACTTTTCGGAGCATTTTTTTGTGGTTGGTAGAGTCTGAGAATGAAGAAGCTGTAAATGCAGATTGTGGTTGTGAAAAATAAACCTGTTCCTTCTTAGGCTAAGGAGCCCAAGAAGCTGGGGAGGTCAGAGGGCAGCCATTGCAATACAGGGCTCCTCCAACAGAGCTCCTTGAACAGAGCTGGAAGAGAAGACCATTCTGGGGAAGCTGCAGAAGGGATGGCCGAGCAGAGGGCCAGGGGTGAATCAACAGAAGCGGCGAGGAATATGCAAGGGGTATGATTTCCAAGTGAGAAACGAGACAATAAAATAGCCAGAGACCCCGGGCGAAACCAGGCCATCAGTCACCCTGGTGTGCCCAGGCCTGCCTGGGCTTTAGTGCTGCAGGCCCAAATCCAGGGGGCTGGGGCACATAGCTCAGTGTGAGCAAGTGTGAGCTCCAGGTATGGCCCCCAGCACCTCCAGAGCAAAGGGAAGGAGAAAGGAAAGGGGGAGGAATGGAGGAGGAAGGAAAATGGTCAGAGGAGATGAAGAAGAGGAGGAGAGGAAGGGAGAAGAGAAAAGGAGGAAAAGAAGGAAGAAGAGGAGGAAATGGAAAAAAAAAACCAAACCATTTTCAGGACCCTCTTGGTCACCATGGGTTACTCTGGAGACCGGATGGTCAATGAAGGCTGGAGCCGACAGGTGTCGTTCTGAGCTGCCATGAGCTTGGGGAGAGAGATGGAAAATTAGTCAAGGGTCCAAACAGGAAGCTGAGCCCTGCCAGGAAGTCAAGGCGTCACTCTAGGTACCGAATCGATAAGGGACTGTTAAACAGGAAAGTGACCTGGGGACACTTGCATAGAGAGGGCTCTGGAGCCTGGGCAGTTGGGGAGAGGTGCTGTGCAGAAGACTGCCCGCCACAGAGCCCCTGCCTTTCTCCACAGAAAGTTGAACCAAAGTGGCGGAGGGAGATAGAGGACTAGGGGATGGATAAAAAGACTCAGCAACAGCAGGACTTAAGAGTACAGAGGTTGGTGCGAGAGACTCTCAGATGCCTGGCACGGGCCGTTGGAAAAGTCTGGGGAAGTAATGAGGGTGGTTTGGAAAGGCCTTCCCACACCACCCTGCCCTGGAATGCAAACAAACAGTTCCTTCCCCTCAGCTTGTGTTGCTTTGACAGCCGTCTTGCTGGGTGTCTGCATTGGACATTCCAGGGACAGGGCCTGTGAGAACTGCAGGGTAAGCGGGAGATTTGTCAGCGGCGTGAGTGGAAAAGAGAGAAACAGCACTAAACTACAGACGTCCGAATCCACTCGCCCACTCTTGTGCCGTTTCCACAAGACCCTTAGTGGGAGAGGGCGGGGGAGGGGAAGGAGGGAGGGCTGGCACCCTCATTTTATAGATGGGAAACTTAGGTTGGAGCAGCAAGCCCAAGCAATGACTACAGAGCAGCAGGCCTGGGATGGACTATGGCCGGCTTGACTCCAAAGAACAGCTCTTCCCGCCTCAAGTCTCCCGTAGCCACAAGCACCTCCTTGAGTGGATATGTCCTCACTTCCCTGCCGGGCCTTGGAGTGATCCTCATCTGGGCTGGAAAGGGGGTCTTCCTGGGATAGAGAGTGGAGAAGACGCTGATGAGGAGATGGGAAGTCAGGGAGTGCTCCCCACGGGCTCTCAGAGAGTGGCTGAAGACTTAGCTGGGTGTGGTGGCGCACACCTTTATTCCCAGCAGTTGGGAGGCAGGGGCAGTGGGTCTCTGTGAGTTTGAGGCCAGCCTGGTCTATAAGGTTGAGTTCAAGGCCAGTCAGAGCTATATAGTCAGACCCTGTCTCAAACAAAACAAAAACAAACAAACAAAAAACCCCAGAATTGTCAGATAATTTCTTCCTCCTCCTCTTCTTTTTCATACCGCTAAATATTTTATTTATGGGTATGTGTAAAGGGATTGCTGTAAAAAAAAGCCGGTTCTGGGCCGCATAATAATACTGTCTGAAAGAGAAAAAAACAACACAAAACAAAAACGATGACACTGCGCCTTCAAAGAAAGTGTCTAAACCAGACACATTTACATTCCCACAGGGACCTTGATGTCTGGCCTTCGATTTCAGGGTTGGTTCTTCTGTTTGTGACATTCCATGCATTTCTCTCCATCCATCTTCTGTCGTACTCACTCCTGCAGGAACCTCATCTTTCCACCCTCTAAGATGAGACCCCAGATTCACTCCCTGATTCCACATTTCTTTTTTGCTCAGCAGGTGCATAACTGGAGTTTGACAGTAATGCTGTCATCAGAATGTCATCCGAAGTTGAGAAATTCGGCATTTCTCAGCCGGCTTCTTTAGTCCCGGCTCCAGCAGAGAAGGGCCGCTAGAGGGAGCTCCTTCCCCTCGCTTCCATCACTTTGCACCAGTCTCCAGAAGGAGGTTTTTCAGAGTTTTGACTCCGTATGCCAGCACCTACGAAAATGCTCATTGATTCACTTCAAGTCATTTATTCCATTCAAATTACCCCTTCAATGCTAGTTTTTAAATTTTTTAAATTTGTATTTTTATGTGTATGAGTATTTTTGCCTGCTTATGTCTGTGTACCGTGTGCATGCAGTGCCCACCGAGGTCAGAAGAGGGCGTGAGATCCCCCCGGAACTGGAGTTACAGACTGTTTTGAGCTGCCTTATGGGTACTGGGAATCAGACTTGGGACCTCCGGAAGAGCAGCCAGTGACCTTAACCACTAAGTCATTCCTCCTGTCCCTAAAGTCAGTTTTAGACACAGACTCATCTTTTCCTACAGTTTCCCCCGGAGTTCAGAGAACTTCCCAGCCAGGCAGCTCCAGGTTAGTAGGGGACAGGGGTGGGGGCGGGGGGGGGCTGGGGGGGCATGGCTGCAAACAAAGCAAAGACCGTCTCTTCCCCCACCCTCGCCTCCTGTGTGCGTCCCAGGACCTTCTTTATCCGTGAAACCTGTTCCATGTATGTGTCTTACGTCCCAGATACTGTGATTTGGGGGGGCGGATGGGCAGAGTTGAGACAGTCCAATGTGACCTAAGCCGCAGTCAAACTTCCCATGATGCTGAGACTGGCCTTGTATTGATAGTCCTACCTCTATTTCTCAAATGCAGGGATTTCTGAGGTGTGCCACCACACTTGGTGACATGCTACCCTTTGTCATTCCCTCAAGAATGCTATTAGGTCAGCATCTACTCTCCTGAACTAGGAAGTGTGTCCTCAGCTTTCACAGCAGGGAAGCCCACCCTCATACTGCTCCTGTTATTTCCTCTCAGCGGCTCCTTTGGTCACCTCTCACGGCCCCTCCTCCATTTTCATCCTGTTTGGCCCCTCCTCCATTTTCATCCTGTTTGACCTCTCTGCAGCATTTGCTGCGGTTGACTCAGACGCCACGCCTTGCTCCATCGGCCCCCTTGGTTTCCACCTGTGAACCACTGACTTCTCCGCTCCGGATGCCCCTGCCACCCTGTCACTGGGGACTCACCGCAATCCGTAGGGACCCTCTGTCTCCAGTTTGCAGGAGTCCAGGGCCAGCTCTGACCTCTCCTCACTTCTGCCCACACCAGTCGTTTCCATTCAGGAATGCTCTGTCATCACCTCCAACTCAGCAACCAGAGGTCTTCAGGGACCTTTTGCCCCATTTGTGTGTGTGTGTGTGTTGCATGGTTCTTCTGCTTGTATGTAGGCTAATGAGCGTGTGTGTGTGTGTGTGTGTGTGAGAGAGAGAGAGAGAGAGAGAGAGAGAGAGAGAGAGAGAGAGAGAGAGAGAGAACAAGCACATGAAGGCCCATGGCTGGAGTCAGAAACCATCCTCAACTTCTTCCTGAGACAGAACTTCGCAATCAAAGTCAGAGCCCGCTGATATGGCTATAGTCCCATTAGCCAGCTGCTCTAGGAATCCCATGTCTGTGCCTTCAGAGCCTGGAATCACTGAGGGAGGTTCCATGCAGCTATTCTGTCTTCACTGCATTAAGGTGGCAACATGGGGCAGCGAACGGGCAGGCCTCTGGGTAGTCTGGGGATGGATAATGCTTGGACTAAATGGGCTTTTTTATTTGCTTGGAGTTGTTTTGCTTGTTTGTTTATAATTACATTTGTGTGTATACCATGGTGAAAGTCAGAGGACAACCAGGAACTAACATAAGCTTCCCATCCTTAAGGTTGCTCCTGTCATGGATTTTGGCACAGTGGAAAGGAACTAATACAAACGGAGCAGAGACAGTTTGATGACTTTCTCAGACTACTAGACGAGTGACTTGTAGATGTTTCATAAAATATTGCTTTTGGGCCAGGGAGATGGCTCAGTGAATGGGTGCTCACTACACAAGCAGGGGGGCCTGAGTTCAGATCTCCAGCACCCGCGTATGAGTGTGCACGCCTGTAACCCCAGTGCTGGGTGGGGAACACGGGCTACGGGATTGCTGGGGCTTGCTGGCTGCCAGCCTGGCTGGAAAATGGCAGACTCCAGGTTCAGTGAAAGAGCCTTCCTCAAAGGGATGAGGCGGAGGGAGCTTGCTAGAGGACACCCAGCCTTCTCTGTCCTGGCCATGTGTGCCCACCTCTGTGCACACACCCACACATACACAGCTTCTAGCCTTGATCATTTTTCTTTTCTAAGCCATTCCTGGATCAGTCAGACTTCTATCACTATCATGAAATGCTCGAAATAATAGAGGAAAAGGTTTGCGTTTGCTTGTGGTTTGGGAAGTTTTAGCTCGTGAATGGTTGGCCGTCTTGCTTTGGGCCTGTGGCAGGGCAGCACATGCTGGTGGAGGCACACGGCAGTGCGAACCCTCACTCGTGGCTTGGAAAGACAGTGGAAAAGTGTAGCTTCTGCAGAACTCCTCTCTAGCATATGTAAGGCCCTTGGGTTGGTCCTCTGTACTAATTTTAAAAAATGAGGAAGAGATCAGGGTCTCACCCCACCCTTTGAGGGCTGATGGTATGTTCCAGATGACCCAGACACCTCCTACCAGGCTGCTCCTTCCAACTGTACTATTGTGGGGACCACACCTGACAACATAACAAGTCTGACATCTCTCTCTCTCTTTCTCCTACCTTTAATCCCAGCACTCCGGAGGAGTAGACTGGTGGATCTCTTGTCAGTTTTACTCCAGCCTTGATCTATATTACAAGTTTCAGGTAGTCAGGGCCACATAGTGAGATATTGCCTCAAAACATTTTTAATATATTGTCTGTGTTGTGTGTTGTGTGTGTGTGCTTGTGTGTGTATCTGCTCACACATGCACATGCGTGCACATGCCACAGTGTGTCCACATGACTAGAAGTCAAAGGACAACCTTCAGAAGTTGGTTCCCTCCTTCCACCATGGGTTCCAGGGGCTGAACTCAGGTCACCAGGCTTGAATGGCAAGCACCTTAGCAGGCTAAGACATCTATCTCACTTCGTCTGCCCCTAGCATGCATGCATGCATATACATACACATATACATTCACACACACACACACACACACACTATGACCTTGAACTCACAGAGATTCATCTACATCTGGGATTAAAGTTCTATTCCACCACACTTGGCTGGCATTTATATTTTTAAAAATAATTTACTTGTATTTCATGTGCATTGGTGTTTTGCCTGCATGCATGTCTGTGTGAGGGTGTTGAGTCCCCTGGAACTGGAGTTACAGGCAGTTGTGAGCCTTCCTGTGGATGCTGGGAATTGAAGCCAGGGCCTCTGAAAGAGCAGTCAATGAGTGCTCTTATCTGCCGAGACATCTCTCCATCCCCATGCATCTATATTTTTAATAAGTCCAGCATGATCTACATAAAGAGCTCAAGACCAGCTAGGGCTACATAGTAAGACTGTATCTCAGCAACCTGCAATAAAACCCCCAGCAAACATGAACAGGGATTGAACAATGTTGAAGTCAAGGGGAGTGGTGATTGATGAAGGGAAACCCTGGATTTGCGATTCTGATGTTTATTTGCAATACATGTTTCCTGTAATTTGTTCATGATGAAATTTTGATGTTTCATTTCATCTTCAAAAAAAGAGCAGCGATACTTTTCAAGAAAGGAAACTGACCATATAATTGACATGAATTACAAAAATCACAACTACTAACACATGCCCAGAAAGAAACCAAGCCTCAGAATGAAGCTTCATCTGTTATTGCCAAAATTGTATTATTTATACGCTGCTGGGTCATTCCTTCTGTCATCCACGAATGCTAGTGGCTCAAAGGGTGGGTCCTCACCTCTAAGGGGAAGACAAGAATGGGGGAAGGGGCATTTTCAAACCAAGCAAGTCTGATCCATTAACTTTTCCTTTCTCTATGAAATGGGGACACAATTTGTAGTCATTTGATAGGGAGGCAGACTGTCTCACTCAACTCAACGAACACGGCATTCCGGGAAGTCACGGATTAAGTCCAGGATGGACCATGGGAAAAGCAAGGTCCCCAAAGGATGACAAGTGCTTTTAAGCAGATGACTTTGGAAACTGAATGCAGGACAGGCTGACGATGGGTGCTGAGAAAACCAACCAGGGGATCACAGTGACAAACAGCTGTAACCCAAACGGGAGACGCAGTGATCTGACCTTGTATTTACACACTGCGTACATGCTCCTTCTATAGACCCCTCCCCTTAAAACTCAGCCTGGGAGCTAGGCTGAGTCCTTTTTTAGGAGCTGGAGGTTTAATTAAAAAGGCAGGTATGGGAGAGAGATTTTACAAACCCAAACTTGGAAGCATTCAGGGGCAGGACTGAGAAGGACCAGAGAAACTTGAAAGACCACCTCTAGATATTAAGTTTGGGTGACTGGAACACTATTCTCTACTGTCATGGGGCAAAGGAAAAGCTGACATGGAATTTGTGATGGTGAATTTTCTTTTATTTTTTTAAAAAGATTTATTTATTATGACTATAGTGTTTTGTCTGCATGTGTGCCTGCAGGCCAAAAGAGGGTTGCCAGATCTCATTACAGATGGTTGTGAGTCACCATGTGGTTGCTGGGAATTGAACTCAGGACCTCTGGAAGAGCAACCAGTGCTCTTACAGTGAGTCATCTCTCCAGCCTTGAATTTTATTTTTTAAAAGGGTTTCTTTGTTTCAATTTTATGAGTCTTTTGCCTGCAATGCTCATGAGGGCCAGAAGGTGGCATCATATCCTCTGAAACTGGAATACAAATGGTTGTAAGCTACCACGTGGGTGCTGGGAACCAAACCCAGGTCCTTTGCAAGAGAAACCAGTGCTCTTAACCACAAAAGCATTTCTTATATTTTTGGTTGTGAGCCTAGCCTTTAACGGCTGAGCTATCCCTCCAGCCCACAAAAGCATTTCTTTAGCCTCTACTTATCCTTTTTATCCTGAGCTTCTTGAGCTTTTTTGTTGTTGTTGTTGTTATTTTAATTGTTGTTGTTGTTGTTTGCTTGTCTCATAGTCTAGCCTGGACGTTGATATGTGCCTGAGGCTGACCTTGAGTTCCTGTTCTCCCTGCCTCCACTTCCCAAGTGCTGTGATTACAAGTGTGCACCACCACACTTCTCCATTCAAGTGCCGTCTACGGTCTCGG